AGTGGACTTAGAGGGTGGAAAAGAATTGGGTCGCAGCACCAGCACCTTATTACGATTCAAAAACTAAGTTTATTACAACTGTCTCTCCACAATGTAGGGGTCGTCAGGTAGACACAAATATAAACCGACATACTTAGTAATTTTTATTTAATTATAACAATTAAAAAGGACCGCTGTGAATCGTAGTTGGTTCAAACGTCACCGTAACATTAAACCAACGACCCAAAACCCTGATGAATTCCTTGGCCTCCGCACCCTAAGTCCCCACAGTCTCCACTGCACTTGGCACTAACTCGTACATCGATTCCAAGTTCCACTGTTCCAAGGTACCAAGCCACTGTGCTTGGCATGTTTCAATTTTGTTTTCAAATTTAGTTAACATTTTCGAAGACAAAATAGCGAACAACAGGTAAACTGTATATTGCAGGCCTCGGGCTGTATTTACATTAGTGTACTGTGGCGAATATTGTGCTATATTGGACTCACCTCGTTTATCGACACATATAATAGTATATACCTAAGTATAGATATGTTTGGACGTTATGTAGGTTGTTGTGATTTTGGTATCAAATGGATGCTGTATTTATTTTTCATCACACTTGCAAGTACATAGTATGATTGCATACTATAATGCCCCAAATAAAACCCTCGGGCCTTTTTCTTTTCATTAAGGTAAGTAAATGTAATCTTTGACACTGGCCCAAAGTATGACACTTCTTCCTTTTTTTAAAACAAAATAAAACAAATATTGATATATCTCCAAAAAAGTGTAAAATTTATTATTAATGGCATATTTGAATTCGGCTTAAAAGCTTTCTTCGATTCACTGAATATTTTTTCATTATGACGACAATTTCTGCGAACAGGTAATCCGAGTTGAAAGCACATTGGTGTTTGAATAGCTTGAGTGCATTTATTAGTCGGAATTTAGTTAATTATCTGTAACTGTTTATTAAAAGTATTGGGTAACTGTATCAAGAATTTATTTTGTGTGTATCTATTGATGTATATCGTTTATATTTTATTTTAGAAAACAATTTGCAAAATTTCAACGTTTAGTAGTAGTTGACACCCATGTCAAGCGCTCGTATATACAATAGAATTTAAAAAAAACTTAATTTCGACCATTTGGTAAAGACGAAGGGATTACTATCGCTGCAAGATGAAAATATTTATTAATGTTATTTAAAACTACAATGATCGTGTGACATTTAAGTTTCATTTTTAAACGACTTCAAAAAAGGAGGAGGTTCTCAATTCGACTGTATGTTCTTTTTTTCCTTTTTTTTTGTATGTATGTTACGCGATAACTCCGGTATTTGTGAACTGATTTTCATGATTCTTTTTTTGTTGGAAAGGGGGTATTTCCATAGTGGTCCCAACTCATTTTGAAGAAAATCATTCACCTCAAAGGGTGACTGTTCACGCATGAAGATTCATTTTCATAAATAGCGCCTAACTTTAATTTAGGAGCAATTACTTTTAGCAATTATTTAGTTGATTTTGCTATTTCTCCAATTCAAGGCGTCTTTCTCTCTATATACTTTGAGTAGTGTCGTAGTGAGAACCTATTTTTATTATCTCCAGTATCAAGTGCTGTATAGTGGCGAACTAGGGGATATTTCAGTGAAACTTAGCAAATAGACGTAATTCCACGTACTTTTGAGGTCGGTTTTTTAGTACTCTGTACTGAGATTATTGTGTTAAGTTTTTTTTGCAATCTTATTAATTTTAATAAAAGCGTCTTGCTTGAATTTGGCTTTTGTTCTTCTTTAAATTTATTGTTATAAAGGTAATCAATTAAATAACTGTGAAATCTCAACATAATGTCCAGTTAAATACTAGTACACAGATCTCATTTTGTCATAGTCAACCATTGGGATATTAGAAATTTTGTCTGTCATACACTGGTACAATTTTAGAGATTATGGTACACTGGATATTTTAATAATGCTATGATTATTTTATATTTTATAGTTCCTAGAAGATAAATGACGCCGTTCAATATGTTAACATACCTAGGTAGTCAGTATGACTGATAATTAAGTACTTTTTTGGCAAAACAGTTGATTTTCCGTCTAAAAGCGTTGCCACAGCCATAGTCGTGTAATGAGAAGAAAAAAGGTCCGAGGGTTTTATAAAAAAAAATCAATGTTATACGGCGGTACGGGAATTACGAACTTTAACTCCGAAAGCCTTCGACTTAGGGCTTCTAATAGAGTCTCGTTTGTAATTCCTTATTTACCGCCCTTAATAATGTAGGGGAAAGATGTACGAGATGATCCTTGGAGGTAAGATTATCCTTTTCAATTGTAACGAAACTAGTAACGTCATCTAGATATTTTCTTCAGTAAAATATAGGCCTCTCATCAGTCAATTCGTAATAGCGATGTGAGTGACGAGTTCATTTTTGTGGAAAAAAAACAAAAATTGTGTGAGTTTCATCTAAGGTAAAGTTGATTAAAAGCTTAGGCAACGTCCATTTTAAGCAATCAATTGCTAAGATTTTTGTGTTGATGGCTTTGTATAATGCTCTACTGTCTTTTTTAATGACGTGGTAATAGTAGACAGCATACAGGTTATTTTGCCGAACAAAAAATTAAAATAAGTAAATTGGGGCAAGATGATTATGGTTTTGGTGTACGAGATGATCCATGGGGATCATCTTGTACTGTGTTTATTGTTAACGGACTATATTTAATTTGTATTTTTTTCTGAGTACTGAAACCTCTTAATTAAATGGCTTGCAATACGAATGAAGTAGTAGAAGATTGGATTTCGTTTACAAGATCGATCTCGATTAATAACAAATATAAATGTTTTTTTCTTGTTTTAGACCAGGCCGCGTAATTTTTAAAAGAAAAACCATTCGTGGTGGCTGGTCGGAAGATTATGATCTAAAGAACCAGAGGCGTAGAAAGTAGGACGCCACATAGATCGGCAAGTAAATAATTAGCAGTAGGTACGCATTATGTCATTAAAAAGACGGGCTAAAGGTGAAAATAAAGGGTCTGTCAGTTCAATGAAATATTTAGGTAAAAAAAAACTGTTTTCACCAGATGTGTTAAACAGGAAATCGAGCTCGTAAAGTACATTAAAGATATGGAGACGAAAATGGATATCAACTTGCCATAAAAAACAATATCGCCCGCTCTTAGATACCTGTAAGATATAAAGTAATTAGGATTATTTGTTCTCGAAGTTCCGTAAATGTTGTTTCATATACCTAGATTACATAAGTGAGGACTTTGTTAAGTCTAAAAAGTTGTTGTTTTCATTTGTTTCTACCAAAACCTAGAAAGTTTCCTAAATAGAGGCCAGGTGATCCCCTGGATCATCTTGCCCATACCCTTAAGATCATCTTGGATACCCCGGTGTTCAAGACGGTTCTTTAGTAAGTTTTTAAAAATTGTTCAAATGTAATAATGAAAGATCAAAAAATAAAACGTTTTTAGTAAGACAACATGTAAACAGATAAATTTTCTAGCATTCAACGCTTTTACATCTGCTTTAAGCTGAATATCTTTTAAACAACCACCATTCTCCCTCAAGGGGATCGTCTGGTACACCTTTCCCCTACAATGTACTGTAGGACGACCAACAAGTCATACACTTATTACATGAAAAAAATTTATTATAAAATTCAAATGGAGTAGTGGTATACAAGGTTTGATTGAAATAAAGGCAGTGTTGCCAGGGCCTTTGAGTCGAAATTTACATTTCGTTATCTGAAAGTTAAATTTTTGCAGCAAAAGTTACATGTTGGGTTCGAATCCGGACTTGCACCCCTTACACCCTTTACACCCCTTGCGAATTTATTTGGGAAATTTAATTTGAAATCGTGAGGAAAACCTGCCTACATCTGCATAGTAATTTAATATGTCTGTTCAGTTTTCAATCCCCAATGGACCTTGGGAACTACAACACAAGGCCTCCTCTCACGTTCTCACTGTGAGAGGAAGCCTATGCCCAACAGTGAGACTACATACGGGCTAACTGTTATTAGTAGTACAATATAATATACAACTTAGAATTATGTACACATAGAAGACAATGATAAACTTATTAACTTATAACTAGGAAGAAAAACTTTCTCAATTAATTTGACTTCTAAATTAAGTCAAATAAGACTTCAACAATATGTGTGTTAATAAAATTACTAGATGGCAGCACATTAATTGAAATATCAATATAAAATCAAAACGTCGTAACTTGCAATAGTAGGTATTGATGGTGTTGAACTTTCAACGATATGCCAACACGGTAAAGTTTAAATTATATTAACAATACAGAATTTGTTATATCTTTTTAAATCTGAAAGTACGGCCAATCATTACCAAGATTTCATAGTGTTTCAAATTACGTGAGTTTTGCGGACAGCGGTTCTGATAGTAATCGAGGCTTAAGGCACTTCTCTGCTTTTTCATCCTTGGCAAAATCGGTTCCGCACGATTGCACTGGGCGGGTAAAGTTATTTTCACCTCAATGTGTACGTGTTTAGGCTCCTGTTTCCTCATAATAACTGCCTGGTGTATTACTAAGATTTTGTAGGCTACTAGTGTTGTATCTGTGTCGTAGTAATCATTAAGTAATATCCGTGGCATGAGCAAGAAAATTTGGAAGGATTTTTTGTAAGACCAATTGAGGGGACGCATCAATCGTGCACCTGGTGGTAAGCGATACACCTGTTCACATCACCACATAGAGCTTTAAACCACAAATATCTGAGGGGCACTGCCACTGCGCCTATTACACTGAGACGTAAGTTGACAAGTCCCATGTGCCTGCAATTTCACCAACACCCTTCCAACCCTTCAAAATCAGAAAGCAGTAGTGCTCACATTACTGCTTGGCGGCAGAAATATTTTTAATTTAATTTTTTTACAAGGAGTGAAAAAATCCACTGCTGCTACCGGGTTAATCTTCCATAATGATCACCATATTTTGTTTAAACTTTGCATTTTTATTACGAAATAGAATAGCGGTCATTTATTTTGCAGGAGACATTATCAAATACATCGATGACTACGGCGGCAAAGTCGGGAGCATCAACAAAACCAACGTCGACAAGCCGTTTGCAAGTTTCTTTCTCCCCGACGTCGAAACAGGGGTCGACACTTCTTGGATCTCTTTACTCTTCGCATACGCGAGCTGTCGTGGTATCGTTCAGTGGGTCATTAATTTCTGGATTGTCGTTGATAATTATTATCAAGGGTTATCTATTAATCGTAAGTTATCAAGTTTACGTCTGTCTTTCTCTGGGTCTGGGTCTGTCATTTAAAATAAAAAATAAACAACTTCAAAAATACGTCACGACAATCGTGTGTGTTATTGTTTGGGCTGGTGATTTCGGTGTTTATTTATTGAAAACATACCGTGAGTAGCGTTTTTTAAGTTTACCCTGAATATAAATGTTTGTAAACTATACTTTAATGAGTAATTTCATGGTAAACGTTAGAACCACTCAAACGGAATATTATCATATTTATCCAAGTACACCAAAAATGTCATTAGTGCTTTTTACGTGCAGGATTTGCGGAAAATTGTTGATGTTTTGAAAAACATCTCAAATAAAATGCAGTAATACAACTGCATTTTATTTGAGATGTTTTTGTTGGTAGTACGGAGGGTATTTATTTAGCAACGCAGAATAATAATTTTTATTTATAAAAACTTGTATTTAAACTGAATGCTTTTCTAATTTGCGAAACCAAATAGCCGCCATTTTGCGGTAGGAGGAGCGCATCGCGTGAGCGGATAAGAAGGGTTTGTCAGGATCGTGCTAAGTTGATAGATAGCCTCTACCAACCGCAATGGGAATCTAAAAGCATGAGTATATAATAAAAAAAATGTTGTTTAAATGATTCAAAATACACATTTGTTTTACAAAATGGTTAACGATGACCGACCAATGAAACTGCTGCAAACGATACTCGTCAAACTTCATTAAAACAAATTTTGAAGTAAATTACGGGAACTAATTTAAAATCGCCACAGTTACCAAATCTTAAAAGCCAAAATTACAAGTTTACGCAATTCAATTCCGAATTCTTCACGGTTCAATTTATCGAGGTCCAAAGTTCAAAGTTCTGTCAGAACTGTCTCGGGCAGATTGGTGAACTTGGAACTTTGTGGGTTACGCGGAAAGTTTTTGCCTCAGTTCACGAACGAAGCCCTTTCGTAGTTAACAATATTATGTATTAGACCGTTCCACATAGAGCCTACAAGAGTTTGGACTATGTGTGATGTCGACACGTACATTATAATTGATTGTAACTTGAACGAACTAACGTATAAGTGCTTGTTGTATATGTGTTTATTGTTTGTTCTTATATATTACTCGTGTTTGGTTTTTTCTGGAACTATAGACGGAAACCTGTATGATTTCTCCCCTCGTTCATCATTCATCATCAATCCATTTATATGTCCCTTTGCTAGACATGGGTCTCCTCTCACGCTATCCCATAAGGAAAGTCACAGAATCATTTGTTCCAAAGGTACACTGCAAAATGTCCTATTTTAAGATACTGCGTATTTCTCATGGACTTCCCCGAGAAGAACGAGCAAGAAGCTCTAGAAGAAGATATTTCAATTCCAATAGAAGATATTCTTTGGTTGCACACCCTTTCATTTTTTTTAATTTGTTTTACGAAAGTATTTAGATTTATCTACTAGGTACCATTGATTTTTGGTTTTAAATTTAAGGCCCAGCTAATTACAAATAAACACCTCGTACAAAAATGGCAAAAGAAGCCTTTTTTTCTTAACTGTGTATTATTATTAAGAACAAAGAACAAGTAACTACCAATGCGTATACAACGAAATGCTATTCATTGCTTATACTTTGTCTTTAAATTTCTAGCCTAAAATTGCTAGGAAGAAACTCCTACTTAGGAATAAGGCCACCTGTTAAACATTAGCATACTCTGTGATACTTTTAACATTACTATTCAGTGTTGTAATTGTAATTTTAATGTGCAATAAAGAATATTTCATTCATTCGTTCCATAGGTACACAAACCTTCTTACGAAGACATATTACAGGTCACATCAACCCACTTTAGTGGACGCGCTGATTCAATGTGAATTAGGCCCATGAGGTCCATCCATATGCATTAAAAGAGATTCGTAAATGTTTACTATTTAAATTTCTGTTTCAGGTAAACTAAATGCAAAGAAAGATGGTGATGGTGGCCGAAGTTCGGTGTTGTCACTTTGATTCCATATCATATAATATCTTGGGCAACTCTTGGCGATGTAGCCATTTTCATTTCTGACCACCCACAGCCAAGTCCTTGACCTCTATACGAAATCTATTGAGAGAAAGTACTGTAGTCAACGTTCCCACACAGTGCAATAGCCAAATTTTCATAACACATCTCAAGACTTTGATATTGTGAAAGTATTAGCGGTGTTGAACTACTGGTGGCCATATGAAAATTTGTTCCATTGGACAACAAATTATAATCCTATTGGTACCAGCCTGAACGTATAAAGCTTGTTGGTGAAAAATTTATCTCTTACATTATCAAATATTAGCCCCTTTATGTCAGGAAGCTGATGCAATCGCTAAACCTTCATTCATTTGGTCGTCAACCGAAGACCAATTCTAACGAGATATGTTTCTAAAAATAAATGGCTTTAAAACACAGACAGCGTTTGAATTTAATGTCTTAGCATTTACGTCATCTCACGCCATTACGGAAGAGTGAGTTGATCTTAATAATTTGAAGGAATTATGTAAGGATCTCCACGAATGGAAAATGTTTACAGATTGAATAAAGCACCTAAGTAAGATATGTTACATTGAGGATATTACGCTATATTCACTAGGTAAATCAAATGTGAGTCAGGTACAGACGGCGGCACATGTACATCAAACTATACATTGATAGATCTTGTTTCGTTGTCTGGAAGCAATATTTGAGCAAAACTATACAGCTTGATGTGCTGTGGACAAAATTGGTACATGTGAATAAGGTACCTTCACACGTTTTCCGACGGTTGTGAACCTTCTTTGACGTGTAGGTTTCATGACAATTTTCCTTCCCTGAAAGCTCATGGTAAATTTCAAATAAATTCACAATAAATTTTTATTGAATTGATATTCAATTATGTTTATGTGAAATTACTACACTAGTTTGTTATACTTATTAATACAAAGATCGAACACTCTAAAAAAGTGTAACTGGGTGAAATATCATAGATTTCTCGTAGATGGCGCTACGACTAAAAGTCGTTGAAAAATCAAATGCAAAGATACGACGCAAGCACATAGAAAAATTCATAAGGTCCGCTGGTTCGTTCCGTGGCTTAGTTGGTACAGCATCTGGCACGGTATGCTAGAAGACGTTGGTTCAAATCCGGCCGGATCGACGGATTTTTTCTGAGTGTTCGATCTTTGTATTAATAATCATAACAAATTTACAATATTTATCTTTTTTTATAACATCAAGTGACAGGACGAACAAGTCGTGCGCCTGACGGTAAGCTACACGCCTGTCCGTAACAGGTACAGTGCCACTCAGAGCTTTAAATTGCAAAGATCTGAGGGGCACTACCAATGCGCTCGTCACCCTGAGACATAAGTTGACAAGTCCCATGTGCCTGTAATTTCACTTGAAATGCCACAGGTGGACATAATCTGAAAACGAATCATTACTGTGTATTTTTGTCATCCAAGGATGCAAAAGTTGAACGTAAATGTCGCAAATTCCGTAAAACTCATAGGTGTAAGACGAGATTCGAACTCACGAGCCTCTGCATGAGTATCTGTATTATCTCCTTGTCCATCCTTAATAACATAGCAAATTGTATACCTAAACAATTTCTTAGATCTGTCACAGCGAGCAGCTGCTTAACTCATTGTAGGTTTATGAAACTTTATCGAACTTACACAATGATTTCACTACTTCCGCCATCTTTGGTGACGCAGAATGTGCCGCCATTTTGTAAGTCATTTATTACTATTTCTTTGTTAGTACCAGGCTGAGCGCCCCCGTTATTTATTAGTATTTCAAAGTTTGATTGTTTATTTTATTCGGAACAACAACAGCTTAATAAATATTACATACACATATTCCATCAAGCCTATCTCCCATCAGGGTAGGCAGAGACTATGGACCTCCACTTGCTACGCTCCTGATAAACCTCCTTCGCCTCGTCCACTCCCATCAATCTCTTCATACATGCCTGTTTATTCTTGATATTTTTAATCCGGCCCTTTTTAAGGATATCCACATTCGCTCTTTCATTATTAACCTTCGAATCTATTGCAGATTCGGTAATAAACATTAACTCCCAATAAATATGTTTGGTTAAAGCTAGCTAGCGTCGAAAGAGAAAAACTCAGAGGTACGAGCTCGAACTCAAACCAAGGCCTCTGCTTGAGAGGCAGCTGATCAAACCACTACGCTACGACGGCTTATCATTTTATATACAATTTGTCTACTTTCGTCTCTATCTATACCAATATACATACAAACCAGAAATAAGCCTGATGTTGTCTTAGGTATTATACCTTAATATCACTTACTGTCAATGCTTCTGTGTTCTATATACTATGCTAAGGAAGCAAGTAAGGGCAAGCAATTAAGACTCGCCTCATTATGAATGACGTCATTATCACCGAAGCCCGAGCCGCGGCTTTGCAATTGCAATAAGGCTACTAAATTGTACTCTTCATTTTCTGATTTTACATATGAATTCTTTATTGGTTGTATATCATTAAAAGTTACGAAAATAAACAAAATAGAATTTTTTTTTGGATTTTATGTCTTTGAAATAAGAACATACTTGCTTTGTTTCTGCAAACTATAAAACTAGTACAAGTAATCAAACAAGAATAAAGGACTAGATAAAAGTCGGAATCATTGAATGTCACGATGTTTGACCAACATGATATTTAATTCATCATCATCCACAGCCTGATTTCACCCACTGCTGGGTATAGGCCACCCGAAGTTTGTGCCATCCACCAGGGTCCCGTGCTAGCCGCATCCATTGCGCCCCGCGACGCGTACTATGTCGTCGACCCACCTAGCAACCGAGCGTCTGACGCTTCTTTTGCCCATCCTCGGCCACCAATCAGTCAATGTCTTGCTCCAACTGTCATCACTTTGCCTTGTTAGGTATCCCGCCCAGCCCCATTTGAGTTCCATGATCCGAGTTCCAGTATCCTTGACTTTCGTCCGTCGTCAGATCTCAACGACCGGAACTCGGTCTTCAAGGCTATAAGCTATTTAAGACTATAGGCTGTTTAAGGCAAAGGCTAAGGATATTTAATTATTTTTGTGAAATTTGAAACGATTGGTTCCAATCCAGGCAGATCGAAGGAATTTTTTCATAGTGTTCGATCTTCAACGTAATTCTGACATCGTACAAGCCCTAATATTTTTCTCACTAAGGACATTATCGTCTTTCGTGGCTGTCTTTTTTCAATACTGTTTTCTCTACTGACTTCATACGAATACTATATACTCGTACCATTTCTACTTCATCATACCTTTATCTTGGTCACTACGTTCTCTTTCAAACATCATTCACGGATCACAGTATTCCTCGCTCTATCACATACCCAATATTACATAATTATTTCTCCATAAAGAGTTACAAAATCAATGTTGTACGTGACACAAAAACCAAACACCTAATCAAAACACGAAGACTTGCGACAAACCGTCGTTCAACAATACAAAACAGTCTGTACAAAAGTTAATCGCAGATTTATTCAAAACAAACGCCGTCAACGAAATTCCCTTGTTGGAACAACCGACAGCAATTAGTGAGTGAACAAAATATTGTGACACGGCGAAATGAACGCGAACGACACGGTTGCCTGAATACGTAATGTGGTTCAGGAAAACGGATTTGTAATCTTACACCAAGCGATTGCAAAAATATAGATAAAGCTAATTTGTAGGTACGCACACAATTTTAGAAAACATTACAGAATTACTGTCTACATAACCCGATGCTTGGTACTCTAGGAAGAATCCGTAGGCCGCCACGTTGACCCACTACGGGTTGGGGAACCTTCCTCGACGTGGAGTCACTTTCATCTAATGTAGATCAGTGACAGCTCGATGGGACACCGTTTGTTTCTTAATCCCTCTAATAAAACCTACATGTCGAAGATGGTTCACAACCCTTGTAAAAGTGTGAAGTTTTCAACACGCATTGGACCAAAATGGCTGACTGTGGCTTAAATCCTCTCTCTATAGGAAACAGTAGGACATATAACGGGATAACGATGGTGACGATGATGATGACTGCAGCAGAATGTCTGTAGCTGTATGGTAACTTACTGAATTTAGTCACATTCGCCGTTAACCGTTCACGCGATGCGCTCCTCCTACCGCAAAATGGCGGCTATTTGGTTTTGCAAATTAGAAAAGCATTTAGTTTAAATACAAGTTTTTATAAATAAAAATTATTATTCTGCATTGCTAAATAAATACCCTCCGTACTACCAACAAAAACATCTCAAATAAAATGCAGTAATACACCGCAAATCCTGCACTTAAAAAGCACTAATGAAAATTTTGGTGTACTACTTGGATAAATATGATAATATTCCGTTTGAGTAGTTCGAACGTTTACCACGAAATTACTCCTTAAAGTTTAGTTTATAAACATTTATATTCAGGGTAAACTTAATAAACGCTACTTACGGTATGTTTTCAATAAATAAACACCGAAATCACCAGCCCAAACAATAACACACACGATTGTCGTGACGTATTTTTGAAGTTGTTTATTTTTTTAAATGACATACCCAGGCATTAAAAACTTTATGGTTTGCTAGAGTAGTTACCGAAATAGCAATTAATATTCGTTCTTTTACCTGTTATAACTTCGATATCCGATAAATCGGTATAAAATCATCACCGGCACCTCTAGGTGGGGTATGCGTCTACGGCTGCATGTATCGCGTGAGCGGTTAGTGGTTTTTGTGGTGATATAATTTTACTTATATACTTTTTGACGCTAAAACGTATCTTCCTTATGCGCAAAACATTCATCATGCGAAATTATGAAATTCTATTCCATTAATTTAATAAAGCAATATTTATATCTCTTGCCGACCAAATGTAAGCTTATCTAACTAATGAAAAATGAGACCATTACTCTCGCACTTATTTACACTTTATTAAAGCTGAATACATTTGTCTTTTAATTATTAGCGACCGACGACGAACAGAGGAGCCGGATTTCTGAGTTGAAGTTGAGCTATGTACTTCATGTTTTGGATATCGTTTTCCGTTGCAAACTCTACTCGTTGAAGACGTCCATCGGGAAGCAGCACGTAGTATTCCCCTGTACTCTTGAGCACTTCAACTGGTCCTTCTAGTTTCTGTACTTGAGGGTTATTGGTAGTTGTAGGAGCAACATCTGTGGTTGGTGCTCCGTAAGTGTTATCAGGGACACCGTAACTGGTTGCAGGTGGGACCTGCTGCTGCGGTAAGATAAAGGGTTGTCCTTCAGGTTTCCAACCAGATGGAGGATAAGGTCCACTCTGTTGTGGAGCTCCATAGGCATCTGATGGTTCTGTTTTCTCGTTTGGCAAGGTAAACGGTTCCCCTGCAGGTTTCCATCCCGAAGCAGGGTAGGGTGCGTTGTCAGTAGTGGGTTCCATTGGCGATTCGGTCGTTGATGGAACAAGCTCGATCCGCTGGGATCTGAACCTCGCTGGTCTGAAGCGAGGCAGCTCAGCAAGAACACCAACAAGCACACACAGAAACACAACGTACTTCATTGCTAATTATTAATTAGACGTCCTATTGTCAACTGATGCTCCTGACTAATTGGGAACTGAATTTATACTCGTCAAGTCCTTTGCGTTACACTTTATGGCTCTTTGTCATATCATAAATGGTATCTAACGCATGCAGAAGGCTATAGAACAGGATAATTTGAGGATGGCTCTAGGTTGCGCACGTGCCGAAGTTGGCATTGACCTCTTAATGACGTTTGTAGACACAGTACACAAACAATGAATATTTTTTTATTCTCGATTTAACGAAAATTTTATGCCAATCTACAGGATAATGGACGAAAATTTAAAAATTACATATTTAATATTTAATTGCCGATGAAATGAGATTCCGTTTGTTTTGTAATTAGATGTTTTATTGTTTTTCCCTCACCACCGAATGGAACAGTCCCCCATTGTTAGAGATATTTAATATCTTTATTACAATAAGTACAGAATATTTGTTGGAATATACGGAGACGTACACAGAGGTCAGTTGTAGGCGCTGTACTATTTCAGCTTTCTGATTTGTGATTTCAGCGCAAACGAGAGCTGATATTTAAAAGTGATATAAGGCCTGACGAGGCTGAAGGCGAGTTGCTAGGTATAGATGGCCCTTATTTCGCCTCTATTCCTGGTTATACACTCAATGGTTATATATTAATGTTATGTATTGTGTGTAAAACAAGTAACATAATTATTTATATACTTTAAAAGTATATCTTTTTAATGATCATGTTATTCGCCGCCTGTGAATTATTCTGAACCCAAATTTGCAATTGACTGACAGAGAATACTTAATGGCATTAAGTCTGCCATTTGTACCATTTTATGTTCAGTAGAGTTTAAATAAATAAAACTTCTCATACACTAAATTCATTTAAAATTGATATATTTTTTCAAAGACGATCAACCGGTTACACATCGACTATGGTACACACTCAAAGACTGACAGGATAACAAGTAACTAAATGCTTGTAATGATACAGACAAATCATTCAAAGTGGTAACTGTTGCTCCATTAGGCTCTTTCGTATTTTAGGTGGCTACAATGGGACCAGGGGCTCAGCGTACTTAAAACTTCCGTATCCCTTTTTAAGGTTTGGGTGCGTGACATTTTTTTTTAATAGATTTCTTTATCTAAGGGTAACTGGTTAATAAAACTTGGTGACACGGAATAAGATAATAGCTTCGTACAAACAAATGACATTTCAGATTGTAATCTTCTAGTTGAGGAAGAATATTTATCTCTATACACTGTAGCCAAAATTCTTATATTGAAGTAGAACACGTAAATGTTGAATTTTTAGTTCTCTAAACTCTAACAAGACCAAACATTTGAAGCGAGGTGTTAAAGAGTTATTCTAAGCGGTATTTTATGTGGTTAAGTTATAAATGTTTATTCTAACCTATTTTAGAAAATTTTTATTTTACCGTTTTTTTTGTTCAACAACCCCGCACTAGGGAAACCCTGTATCGCGGGTGTCATGCACACACCTAAACAACCACAAATTACAGCCAAACTCATGAAAGAAATAAATGTAGGCCATACAAATATTTCTCCCGAACCCGGGACCTCTGCGTGGCTGTCCGGCATGGTGACTGTTCGGCCACGGAGGCAGTTAATGACTCACTCATATAGTTTTTTTAAAGTTTTTGTTATTATTATATTAAGTGATCTTAATATAACAAACACAAAAAAAACTTCCTTCGGTCCGGCTCGACTCAAAAAAATGTTTCTTGTATTATGTATCTTTCATGTACCTATCCTCAGAAAAGTACAAATATGGACAGTAAAACATGTTAAGTATTCATTTTCCTAAACTTGCAATGTAAATTTTGTGGTGTTCTTTTAATATGAAATACCTTTTCAATCAGCGCCATAAAAATATAGGTGTTCTTTATTTTCACATTTCGACACCTCCAATAAACATTGCGCCAATTTTTGCATTTCTGCTTTTATTTTGTTTTTTTCTTTTTTTTTCACAAAATTCGGCTTTTGTTTTTTTTTGGAATCGTGTTATTTTTCTTTTATTTTTCACAAAATTTGGGAAGCATAATATCAATAAATAAATATGTCTGTTTACAAAAATAACAGAAACTAACCAAATACTAAAAATAGAGTTGGCGTAGTGTTTATTTGGAGGTATCGATTTGTTCAGTTCGATAGTCAGACGAGCCTGGCAATTTGTTTAAAGTATTTGAATGCAGTATTATTTCAGGAAATATAACATCCCTATGCGAAGCAAAAGAATTAATATCCACAATATTTGAGATTCTTTCCTTTATATATTTATTTTTTTAGTATAACAGGCGATGCGACGGGACCAACAAAAACTCCGAGCTTTGGATCACGAAAATCTGAGAGGTACTACATTGACAAGTCTCATATGCCTGTAATTGCATCCTTAGGCTCAACTCACACTGGCGCAGAGTCGAAGCGTCGCGTAGAGTCCTGTTTTTCAACTACAACGCCTGGCGATGCGCGTCGAAATCGACGTCGCTCGCATTAGTGCGCCCGGATCACAGTGTGGTCGGCGTCTAACGCCTCATTGCGCCCAAGTAACGCGCGACTCGGGAAACCGCTCCACTCCAACCAAGCGTCGACGCGCGTTTCCATTTGCACTACACAAATTTGTATCTTAATAATGGGAAGTCTATAGGCGAAAAACGTCGAAAAACTTCGACTCTGCGCCAGTGTGAGTTAAGCCTAACCCTTAAAAAACCGGAATGCATTTTTAATTGTAAACTAGATCATCTCCATTTAAATTAACCTTCACTTAGTTTGCAAACTTTGAACCAACAATATGAAAACATAAACCAATAGCACAACAATAACAAGTGAAATAACTATTTATTTATTCAGAACACGCGAGCCCGTTACTAACCATTCAACGTTTTCGATATGTTTACCTTATGATTAAATTATAGAGCAATGTTAACTGTATCTTGTTACTGGTTATTTGATCAACAGTATAATGTGGTTAATGTAGTAGTTTTAATGGAAAATTCGGGACTGGAGAGATTTATTTTTGAGAATTGCGAGAATGTCGAGGACGACAAAAAAAGGGCCTCTGTTTATTGGATTCTCTGAGTGCCCATTTCTGGACCACAGAAGTTATCTCTATTTCTTTCCCTTGGTATAGTAAACTCACATTATGATCATACATCAAAATCACTTTTGACATGACATGACCATGGAATCAACCGTGACCATGTGACCTGTAAAGGGCCCGAAACGTCGGTTTGTTGGAAAAAACAAATATACGCGATTTAAATCCGGAAATATAGTTTCATTTCCTAATTTATTACTTTTTTAAAAGGCGGAAGAGTGCAGCACTTGTATGTATATAAATAAAACGTGATGACAATAATAGCTGCGATTATCTGTCGTCACATTTTTATCGTGACGTCACACGACACTTTAAACTGCACGACTATGACATACACATGGCGGCTTTTAGCAGCGATACAGTAGCAATGCAATCGCTAATCGTCTACCTTTATGCACGCGCGCAATTTTAAATAGCGATGCAAACGCGACGCAAGCGCGCGACTGCACCGATGCAGACGCGCTATTGCAACGCAACACTTGGGATTTATAGGCGATTGCATTGACGCAGTCGCGCGCAGAACATATCCAAAAATTGGCGCGATGTTTATAGGAGGTGTCGAAATGTGAAAAAAAAGAACACCTATATTTTTTATGGCGCTGATTGAAAAGGTATTTCATATTTAAAGAACACCACAAAATATACATTGCAAGTTTAGGAAAATGAATACTTAACATGTTTTACTGTCGATATTTGTACTTTTCTGAGGATAGGTACATGAAAGGTATATAATACAAGAAACATTTTTTTTAGTCGAGCTGGATCCAAGGAATTTTTCTTTGTGTTTGTTTGATCTTAATATAATAATAACAAAAACTTTAAAAAAACTACATGAGTGAGTCATTAACTGCCTCCGTGGCCGAACAGTTACCATGCCGGACAGCCACGCAGAGGTCCCGGGTTCGACTCCCGTGTCGGGAGAAATATTTGTATGGCCTACATTTATTTCTTTCGTGAGTTTGGCTGTAATTTGTGGTTGTCTAGGTGTGTGTCCATGACACCTGCGATACAGGGTTTCCCTAACAAAAAAAATGGTAACTATGACATACACATGGCGGCTTTTAGCACCGATGCAGTAGCAATGCAATCGCTAATCATCTACCGTTATGCACGCGCGCAATTTGAAATAGCGACGCAAACGCGATGCAAGCGCGCGACTGCACCGATGCAAACGCGCGATTGCAACGCAACACTTGGGATTTATAGGCGATTGCATTCACGCAGTCGCGCGTTTGCAATCGCTTATAAATCGCAAATAAAATAATATAAAAGTGTGTGACCACTCTGTTATCACGATTTAAAGGAACGTGTCCTGAGGCAAAATGTTGAGAATATAAAGAACTGTAGGGACGTACCGCTTCAGTATACTTAAGTTATAACTAAGTAAGAGCGTAGTTTTGCTTAATGAGGCAGCGAGCGCTATTTGGCTAAAAAGTCTCTTTATTCGGAGTGTTGCGATGATTTCTCACTCCCCATTTCCGAGTACTACTTAGCACTGCAAGTGTTGCCTAAGTAGAGAGAAAACTGAAATGTTACTTGAAAATAAGTCTCATATTGCGTGTTCTCGCTAAGCTTAGAATGTTGCATACAAATTTTGTTACTAAGTAATTACAAAACAAGTAAGTTTCTACAGTCTTTATATCACAATAAAAATTACAATAAAACGCAGAACAATAATATAAGTATAGATGAATAAGCTAACTTAAACAGACGACATTACGAGTATGTTAAGTAGCCATTTCTTTCGGATAGAAAAATTTTAAATACAAATGTGATTCAACAAATAAATATCTTTTAATAACAGTATTTTAATAAATACTCACTGAATAGGTACTACACATTAATACTTGTAATATATAGATTACAATTTAACAATGCCTATACAATGAAAGCGCATCGGGCGAATCGAGCGAAGCTTTC